GTGGCTCAGTAAATAGAGCCCGGCCTGTGGTCTGAAGGGTCCTGGGTTCGATTCCGTTTATATATATATTTAAAGTAACGGCTTCTGCCCAGGGCCACCCTGAATGCCAGGGGCCTCTGACACACCACAGCTTTCCCATCTCCTTCACACCCACCCCGGAGCCGAGAGTCCCACGTCCCTGACCAGACTCTAACGTGTGTGTGTGTGTGTGTGTGTGTGTGTGTGTGGCACGTGGTATTGCACCTTATGGACCCGCCATGCTGCTCTGGTGATGTAAAGCATGCATATTTCATCGTTGCTTTCATATATTTTTATTGATCTCGGAGAGGGAGGGGGAGGGAGGGAGAGAAAGAGACAGAAACGTCAGTGATGAGAGAGGATCACGGATCGGCTAGCTGCCTCCTGCACGCCCCCCCACTGGGGATGGAGCCCCCAACCCGAGCATGTTGCCCGGACCCGGGGATGGAACCGTGACCTCCTGGTTCGTAGGTTGATGCTCTCAACCACGGAGCCGTGCCGACCGGCTGAGGCGAGCGTGTTTTATTAACCAGCGCGGAGTGGCCATTCATTATTAAATGCAGACGTCAATAGCCTCGTCTTGGAAGTAACAGGCTTGAGTAGGCATCCAGACTGCCTTGGGGACCCGCTCCCTCTGACTCTCACAGCGGTCGGCACTAATGGAACACCCACAGCCCGCTGCTCACACTCAGTGGGGGGAGGGTTCCCCCAGAACAGAACGGGAGGGGGGAGCAAGGGGAGGTGTCGCTGTAGGGAGCTCTGCGGCCCCCAGCTGGGCGCTCTCTGCCCGATCTGGGTGTTGAACTGGCCTTGGACGCCGGTGGGACCCACAGCGACTGTGGTAAGGACGCAAAAGCCCCGGAGAAGCCCTGGCTGGCGCGGGTTAGTGGATAGAGTGTCAGCCTGCGGATGGAAGGGTCCCGGGTTCGATTCCGGTCAAGACTGCAGACTCCGTCCCTGGCCCTGGTTGGTGGGGGTGCGTGGGGGAGGCAACCAATATCCCTCCCCCCTCTCCTTCTACTCTCTCTAAAAAATCAACAGAGATGTATCCTCGGCTGAGGACGAACCAATAAAGAGATACATGTGCCAACTTAAAAACAAACAAACAAACAAACAAACACCGAAAAGCCACCACCCCCTTTCCGGGGCGGGCTGTTCCCAGATACATCCTGGTGGGGGGAGGGGGCAGGGCGGGTGACGACCAGGAAGGAGAGCTGGAGATTTCCCCGAAGCCGGCGAGGCCTGTCCGCCTCTTTCGGGACACACCACCTGCCCCCCCCCCCCCCCCCCGCAAACGGAATATCCTTACCATCTCCACCCCCAGCCCCCGCCCCCGGCTCTCGAACCGCTGTGCTTTAGCAAAACCTCAGGCCCGGCGAGTGTCATGCGTCTTTCCCTGGGTCCCTGTGCTGTGGCCCAGGCGGCTCCCGGACCCACGGGGGCTCACAGGCTCCCCAGCTCAGGCCCACAAACAACCCAAAGAGACAGCGCTGTGCTCCCCGAGGGAGGAGCGGACGGAGGGCAGAGGGCAGAGGGCAGAGGGCAGAGGGCAGAGCCGCCCGATGCCCAGGCTCCTCTCTCTCTCTCTCTCCAAGGGCTGCAACCGCTACCCGCTACCAGAGAAGGAGGAGGGGAGGGGACACACGAGCGAGTGAGCGAGCGAGCGAGCGAGCGGCCGGCCGCCGTGTCCAATGAAGGAAAGTTTTTGTGAATGATGACGTCACTGACTTCTCCCCAATTTAAAGGAGCATTGAAGGCGCACGGTGGATGCGTTTATTTATTTATTTTTCCCCTCCTCCTCCAGGGAGGAGACACTAAAGGGAAGGCCTCCGGGTTCGCTGGACCCGGAGCGGGACCGGAGCGAGGGAGGAAGGGAGGGAGGGAGGGAGCGGTGCTCCGGGCCGCGCCGGGGCCCACGCAGCCCCAGCCCGTGTGCGCCCGGCCTCATGCACGGCTCCCGGGCCCGGGCAGGGCCTGGGGAACCAGCCGGCTTCGCGAGACACCCCCACCCCCAGCGCATATAACGGGGCCGGTGCCTCCACGCCTGTCCTCACGTTCCAGTGCGGACAGCTAACGGCCCCGATCCAGCCGGGGAGCGCCGCGCCCTGCCCGGGGAGACCCCGCGCGCCTTCCCGGCTGGAGGCTGGAGGCTGGAGGCGGTGGTGGCCGCGGGCGCCTGCCCTCGGGGTCCGGAGAGAGAGAGAGGAGCCTGCAATGCAGACGCGCGCGGGCCAGCCCCGTGTGCGGACCCCATGACCCCGGCGCCCCTGTGTCTCCCCCGCGCGCCGCCTCGCTCCAGGGCCACCCGGTCTGTGCGCCCGCCCGTCTCGCCACGGGGGTGGGGGTGGGGGCCATCGAGGGACCCCGATGCCCGACGCGCTCGCTCGCACGGGGAGCACCTGTGTGTGTGTGTGTGTGTGTGTGTGCGCGGCTCGCGGCCCCGACCCCGCCGCCGCCGCCGTCAGCACCGCGGCCAGCGCCGTCTCACCTGCCGCGCGCGCGCCTCCGCGCTCCGAAGCCGCCGCCGCCGCCGCCACTACCCGGCTTCCATGTTTCCCTCTCGCTTTTATCCCAGAAAAAAAAAAAAGAAAAAAGAAAAAAGAAAAAAATCCGATCCTCCGCTGTGGCTCCGGTACCGGCAGCGGCCCCCTCCCTCCCTCCCCAGCAGCTGCCGCCGCCGCTCGCGGTCCCTCCGGGGGCCTCGCCGCCTCCCCCGCCTCCTCCCGCGCGCCCGCTCCGCTCCGCCCCTCGCGCCCCGTGCGCGCCCGCGGCGGCCGCGCGCCCGGCCCGGCGCCCGCCTCTCCCTCCCGCCTCCCTCCCCGGCTCCGCCCGCCCTGACGTCAGCGGCCGCAGCCGCGTCCCGGCCGCCCCGGGAGGGAGAAGGCGGACGGGGGCGCGCCGGGCTCTCCGGCCCCGCCCCCCCCCGCCCCCCCCGCCCCCCGGCGCGCGCTCCGGATTCAGGACCCTGGAGAGCGCGCACCCCCTCGCCCCCCGCGCTCCGACGCGCGCTCGCCCTTCCCGATGCCCCCGTGGGCCACAGAGATAACGGGACTTGGAGAGCCTGCCTCTGCCCGCTGCTGCCCGGCACTGTGCGCGCCCACCCCGTCCTTCCTGAGCGCCCCAAACTTTCTCCCGCCCCCTCCTGTCTCCGCTCCATCTCCAAGCCCTGCTCCTCCCGGCCAACGCCGGCCCCCGGGCGCGCGCACTGGTTTCAGGACCCTGGAGAGCGCAGGCTCCCCCCGCCGTGCTCCGACACGCGCTCGCCCTTCCCGATGCCCCCCTGGGGGGGGGCACCTGCCCCCGGGGAGACAGAGATAACGGGACTGGGACAGCCTGCCTCTGCCCTCTGCTTCCTGGCACTGTGTGCGCCCACCCCGTCCTTCCTGAGCGCCCCAAACTTTCTCCCCTCCCCCGCACCCCCCCTGTCTCAGCTCCATCTCCAAAGCCCTGCTCCTCGCGGCCAGCGCATCCCTCTCCTCCAGAGCTGGTCCTCCCTTCCGCCTCTAAAGCCGCTTCTCCCACCTTCGCCCATGTCTGGCTTCCCTCTGAACACTTCTCGCGCCCCCCCTTGGGGTGTTTCTTTCTTTCTTTCTTTTAAAAAAATATATTTTTTATTGATTTTTTACAGGGAGGAAAGGAGAGGGATAGAGAGCTAGAAACATCGATGGGAGAGAAACATCAACCAGCTGCCTCCTGCACCGCCCCCCCCCCCCCCCAACTGGGGAAGTGCCCGCAACCAAGGTACATGCCCATGACCGGAATCAAACCTGGGACCCCTCAGTACGCACGTCGACGCTCTATCTATCCACTGAGCAAAACCGGTTTCAGCTGAGGTGGTTTTTTGACTGATGCCAAGGACTGCCCACAGCTCTCTCTCTCTGCCCACACTCACATCTTCCTCCGGGCGTGGCCACGCCCCCTCTGCAAGTAATATCACAGGTAATACCGCCCTCGCGTGTATTTCTTGACAATCCTTATTTTTTACTCCTCCAAGCTGAGGACATTTTTTTTTTAAACGTTATACACCGGATGTTTAATAAAAGGTAATGTATTTGACTTTTAAAAATATATATATGTTTATTGATTTCAGAGAGGAAGGGAGAGGGAGGGAGAAGATAGAAGAAGCATCAAAGATTGCGAGAATCATTGATGGGCTGCCTCCTGCACGCCCCCTACTGGGGATGGAGCCTGCAACCTGGCTGTGTGCTCTGACTGGGGATCCCATGGTGACCTCCCCATTCGTAATGTCTACGCTCAACCCCTGAGCCAGCCGGTGGGGCCACACCACGTTTTGTGCATTCACTCAGGGGAGGTTAATTGGGTGGCTTCCAGTTTGGGATGATATGGGTAGTAATTCTACAGGCTGTTTGCATGCAAGATTTGTACATTCCCGAGGGCTCGACTTTCAAAGCATGTTCAAATCTGATTCCTTTTCATCGCTGTCCTGCTACAGTATGTATCCATGTCACCACCATCATGACCGAGACCATGCCATCAGCACCATCATGACCGAGACATGCCACCACCATCATGACCAAGACCATGCCATCAGCATCATGACCGAGACTATGACATCACCATCACGACCCGAGCCCATGCCATCAGCACCATCATGTCCGAGACCATGCCATCAGCATCATGACCGAGACCATGCTATCACCATCATCATGACCAAGAACATGCCGCCACCACCACCACCATAACCCTAGCCCATGCCATCACCATCATGACCGAGACCATGCCACCACCACCCTGACCCTAGCCCATGCCATCATCGCCATCACCATGACCCTAGCCCCCTATCCTCCCAGCTTTGTTCACCGGGGCCTGTTCTTCTCTCTCCAGGCTGCCCCTGGCATTCCCACGGGGTATCGGCACCAGCTGTTTGCACTCGGAGGGCAGCCTGCGTGGCTCGTTCTCGAACGATTTCACGTCTCCTCGTAAACATCTCTTCCCAGAAATGTCTTCTCTGAACATCCTACCTGCCGTCAGACACCTGCCTCTCTCCCTGCCGTGCCGGGGTCCTTCCTTCCACAGACACGTTTGCTTCTCTTGCTCCTTTTGTTATCCGCTGAGCCCTCTGGCCTGTCAGTCCCACCAGGGCTGGGGCAGGCTGGGTCGGCTCACGGCGGTATTTCTGGTCCCCGGTTGGTACTGGGCGCCTGGAAGACGAAGAGTCACATAAGAGACGGTTGTTGAGCACAGAAGGTGTTTGCTCTGTTTGCAAATACTTTTATTTATTATTTTTTAAAATATATTTTTATTGATTTTTTCCAGAGAGAAAGAGAGAGGGATAGAGAGTTAGAAACATCGATGAGAGTCATCGATCAGCTGCCTCTTGCACACCCCCCACTGGGGATGTGCCCGCAAGCACAGTACATGCCCTTGCCCGGAATCGAACCCGGGACCCTTCAGTACGCAGGCCGATGCTCTATCCACTGAGCCAAACCGGTCCCGGATGTTTGCAAATACTTTTAAAGGCTCCCTGCCCTCCTTCAAAATACAACCTCTGTCTGTGAGGAAGCCTGGGGGCTACCAAGTGGCAGTAAAATCTGTCCGGTGGGGGGAAATATAAAGCACGCTATTTTATTTTTTATTTTTATTTAAAATATATTTTATTGGGTTTTTGTTTTTTGTTTTTTGTTTTTTTACAGAGAGGAAGGGAGAGGGATAGAGAGCTTGAAACATCCATGTGAGAGAAACATCCATCAGCTGCCTCCTGCACGCCCCCTACTGGGGATGTGCCCGCAACCAATGTACACGCCCTTGACAGGAATTGAACCTGGGACCTTTCAGTCCGTAGGCCGACGCTCTATCCACTGAGCCAAACCAGTTTTGACTAAAGCACGCTATTTTGATGGAGGCATCAATGAGGAGCAATATTATAAAATGAATGCAGAACTGAAGGGGGGACTGTGACTTTAAAAAAATTATTATAGCCCTTCCCAGGTGGCTCAGAGCATTGTCCTGTGTGTGTGTGTGAGAGTGAGAGAGGAGGAGGAGGAGGGGAGGAGGGGAGGAGGAGGGAGGAGGAGGAGGAGGGGGAGGAGGAGGGGAGGGGGGAGGGGGAGGAGGAGGAGGAGGAGGGAGGAGGAGGGAGGAGGAGGAGGAGGAGGGGGAGGAGGAGGGGAGGAGAGGAGGAGGGAGGAGGAGGAGGAGGAGGAGGGGGAGGGGGAGGAGGAGGAGGAGGAGGAGGAGGAGGAGGAGGAGGAGGAGGAGGAGGGAGGCGGAGGAGGAAGAGGAGGAGGAGGAGGGAGGAGGAGGAGTAGGAGGGGAGGAGGGGGAGGAGGAGGAGGAGGAGGGGAGGAGGAGGAGGGAGGAGGAGGAGGAGGAGGAGGGGAGGGAGGAGGAGGAGGAGGAGGAGGAGGAGGAGGAGGAGGAGGAGGAGGAGGGGAGGAGGAGGAGGAGGAGGAGGGAGAGGAGGAGGAGGAGGGGGAGGAGGAGGAGGAGGGGGAGGAGGAAGGAGGAGGAGGAGGGAGGAGGAGGAGGAGGAGGAGAGGGGAGGGGGAGGAGGAGGAGGAGGGGGAGGAGGAGGAGGAGGAGGAGGAGGAGGAGGGGGAGGAGGAGGAGGAGGAGGAGGAGGAGGAGGGGGAGGAGGAGGAGGAGGGGGGAGGAGGAGGAGGAGGAGGAGGAGGGGGAGGGGAGGAGGAGGAGGAGGAGGAGGAGGGGAGGAGGAGGAGGAGGAGGAGGAGGGGGAGGAGGAGGAGGAGGAGGAGGAGGGGGAGGAGGAGGAGGAGGAGGAGGAGGGGGAGGAGGAGGAGGAGGAGGGGGAAAGCAAGCTTGTGGATTCCATTCCTGGTCAGGGCACATACCTAGATTGCAGGTTCGATCCCCAGCCCTGGTCGGGGTGTGTGCGGGGGACAACCGATCAATGTTTTCCTCTCACATCCATGATATTCTCTCTCTCTCTCTCTCTCTCTCTCTCTCTCTCTCCCTCCCTCCCTCCTTCACTTTAAAGTCAATTTAAAAAAGTGATTAAAAAGTACTAACTTGTTTAATTTATAAATAAGTAGTATTTAACAAATAACATAGACAGCGTGTCCCAAAACATGTAGATACACTTTAATAGCAGGTAGCTCAATTTTGAAAACGAAACGCATTTTCATAAACACTGCCTTTGCAATTATTAAAAAATGTGTTATGCACATTTTGGGGAGATACCCTAGATTTGTGTAAGCAATGAAGACTGACATTTTGGTCATGACGTGCTTTATAATACAGTCATAAAACAAAAGAAGTAAAAAGCATTTACCAGTATTTACACCCACACATCTTTTTTAAAAAACACTTTAAAAAATTTATTTCGGCGAGAGGGAGAGATGGAAACATCAACAATGAGAGAGAATCATAGATCAGCTGCCTCCCTGCACTCCCCACAACTTTGGGCATGTGCCCTGACCGGGAATGGAACCCTGACCTCCTGCTTCCTAGGTAAGATGCTCAACCACTGAGCCACACCAGCTGGGCCAGGCCCCTTCTTTGAGGGGCATGTGTCTGGCTTGTGCTTTATCTCAATCCCACAATGCACGGGGGGGGGGCGGGGGACAGAGGAGCGACGACACGCTCACAGGATCAGCGAGCCCTGTCTGGGGCAGCGTTTCCCTCGGGATGGGCTGGGAGGGGGCCTTCGCTGCAGTCAGCTCATTTTTAATTTCCGACGTCTGCTTGCTGCGGTGAGAGGCAGCCCCTCTGAATCATCCCTACCCAGCAGAGTGAATAAACGTGTGCGTTCATCTCGAGCACGGTAATTGGCGGTGTGAAGCATCCAGCCTTCCTTTCATTAAGCTGGTGAGGTCTAAAAATAGACGCCGAGGCTGTTTACCAGAAGCTAATAGACCCACCTGAAATGTAAAAACAAAACACTCCTGTACGTCCGGCCAGTGTGGCTCAGTGGTTGAGTGTTGACCAAGGAACCAGGAGGCCATGGTGGGGTTCCAGGTCAGGACACAGGCCCGGTTGGTGGGCTCCATCCCCGATAGGGGGTGTGCAGGAGGCAGCCGATCCATGGTTCTCTCTCATCGTTGTTTCTATCTCTCGTCCCTCTGCCTTCCTCTCGGAAATCAATAAAAATGTATTTAAGGAGAGTGTAACCCTAAGGAAAGAAGGGGAAAGTAGAGAAAGCCGGATGTCATTCAACAGGGAAGTGAGGATGCTGTGAAGGTGGCTAGGCAAGCTGAGTGCGTGGTCGGCAAACTCATGAGTCCACGGAGCCAAATCTCAACAGTACGACGACTGACATTTCTCTGGAGAGCCACGTTTTTTAAACTTAAACTTCTTCCAACGCCGCTTCTTCCACACAGACTCGCCCAGGCCGTGGTGCTTGGTGGAAGAGCCACACTCAAGGGGCCAAAGAGCCGCCTGTGGCTCGCGAGCCGCAGTGTGCCGACCGGGGTCCTAGGAGAGGACTACTAGTAAACTGGACACCTGGGAAGATGGATCACGTGAACAAAAGAAGGTCTCGATAATGACTCACAAACGTATCTTAAGACACAGGACTAATCTGACAATTGTAAGAGGAAACTAAGCGGTACCCTGTTACCATTACCCCGCCCACCTCCACAGCAATGTTCTCATGGCCACTGGCCCCGCCCACATGTCAGTGATGTTCTCATGGCCACTGGCCCCGCCCACATGTCAGTGACGTTCTCATGGCCACTGGCCCCGCCCACCCCGACAGTGATGTTCTCATGGGCAGCCTCATGGCTGCTGGTTCGAATCCCACTGCGGAGCTGCGTGTTCAGATGATGCCTCTGTGTCCCTCCCTCTGCAGGGGTCCTGGCTGTGGCCAGTTACAGGGTCTTTTTTTTTTTTTTTTTTTAAATACATTTTTATTTATTTCAGAGAGGAAGCTGGAGGGATAGAGAGAGAGAGAGAGAGAGAGAGAGAGAGAGAGAGACATTGATGAGAGACCACGCCCCCTACTGGGATCAGGCCCGCACCTCGCTATGTGCCCAGACCTGGAATCGAACTGAGACCTCCTGGTGCATGGTCGGATGTCCACCCACTGAACCACACTGGCCGGGCTAGAACCAGGCGGCTTTGAGGGGGAAGGCAAGAGATGGGAGGTTATCATCCCAAACCCAGATGGGGTGCGGGGGGGGGGCTCCTCCCACCTGCACCCCAGTCTGCTCTGGAGAGGGCATGCCCTGGTGGTACTCCGTGGGCGAGGTGGCACTCTGCCCATCCCTGATGGCCAGCGGGTGGCCACCCCGGGCCCAGCTTCCTGAGCTCTCCAGGAAAGACCCCGTTCTCCTCGGTGCTAGCTAGCGTCACCCACACAGGAGCAGGGTGGCTCCCCCCCACCCCCCCCCGCGGGGTGGCACACGTCTCCTGGGAGACGGAGGGGGCTCAGCGGAGAGCTCCTGGCTCCCGCATCCGCCAGGGTGGAGTCTGGGCCTGAGGAGCATTCCCACAGGGGGGGTTTCTATAGCAACTTCCTGAGGAGTTTCCAGGGCTGGCGGATCCTGTCGGGGTAACCCGGGGAGGGCGGCAAGGGCTGGGGGCGCGGAGGCGGCGGCAGAGGACCGGGCTGTGCGGGCGGAGGCGGGACCCGGAGGCCTCCACGAGGCCAGGGGAGCTGGGGGAGCCATGGGAGGTGGGCTATGGGGGTGAGAGGGGCACAGGGGACACAGCTGGACTGAGGGCCAGCAGCTGGTGGCCCGCTGCCCCTGAGCATCTCTCTGTAGAAGACACAAGGACCCTCCAAGGTGGTGGTGAAGATGGAAGGGGGAGGGCCGCCCGTGGGCGACTGCAGACTAGGAAAGGCAATGATGCAGGCAGATGGCGTGAGGAGAGGACAAAAGCAATGACGGGGAAAGCGTCCTTGCCATGCAGATGCTATGTTTCTGACCTTTAAAGTATATTTTTATTGACTTCAGGGAGGCAGGGAGGAGAGGGAGGAAAAAAAGATGAAAAACACCCAGGGATGAGAATCATGGATGGGCTGCCTCCTGCACAGCCCCACCAGGGGCGGGCGGGGGGGGGGGGGGATCGAACCAGCAGCCCCGGGCACGTGCCCTGACGGGGGGTGGGACCGGCGACCTCTTGGTTCAGGGGGTGGATGCTCGACCACGGAGCCTCGCCGCCTGGCCTGCTCATTGTTTTTTTTTTTTTTTTTTTTTTTTTTTTTTTTTAAATATATACTTTATTGATTTTTTACAGA